TCGTCCACACACGGGCCTCTTTAGACAGTAATTTTTAGTGTGGTCGAAGTCGAAACACCTGAAGCATTGCCTCAGAGTATTATTCTTTCTGGGTACTTCAATTGATACTCGCATTCGGCCAACTCTAGAAATCTTGAAAACGTCCCTGTTGTTGGGAGCTGGAGACAGGTTTAGGAACCATATATTCTGTTTCGGCTGGGCATTGATACTTCCATCAGAGTTGACTCGATGAGGAAGCCTCGACTTCGGATTGTACGCATTGACAACCGAGTGGCCTTGCTTTTTAAACTCTTGGACAATCGTGTCTACAGGAGTTGAGGCAGGTAGATTACGCACCACTATACGGAACGTTTTATCCTCGTCTAGGCAGAAATGGGTATACTCAACATTATGAGCATTAAGCAACTTGAGTATCTGGCGGTGGGTGTTAGAATCCTTTGCGTAAATTCTGACATCCCCAGCAGGAGACAATCGAAATTCAAAATCATCAGATGGGATAATGGGGGAAAGGAAGGCCTCCAAGGCATTAATATCAACGACATCTGGAATTCTAATGGGCCTTGGTTTCTTGATTTTCAATGGGGAATCTGGCTTTGTATTGACCGCATCCTTCACTTCATCGACTTCCACGATGTCATCATCATCAACGCTCATCAGCGAGGCAAACTGATTATGACCAAGTGGAGTATTTGGCTGCTGAGAACGTGATACAGTGGGCAGTTGCGAAGCTATAACATTTTTGAACTGCGGTGCCTGATTTTGCAATCGTCGTCTTTTGGGCTGCACCCGCTGCCAATCAATAGTGCTCGACTTAAAGACATGGTTGATTCCTTTAGTTTTCCATTCGGGAAGGTCAGCGACAGTACTCTGGGAGGATCCAAGGGATTTCTTTGGCTGGGCACGTTTGAGAGCAGCGCTGCGGAGCTCAGCCGCAACGTCAATTGAGCTAGTAGGGGTAGCCGATCGAGAGTTGTCTTCGCGGGTTAACCGTCGAGATAGAGTAGCCTCCTCCTTATTCGAGGGGCCAGCTGTGGGTGGCTTCTGCATAGCAGAAACCACCAAGCCACAGCCGGGCAAGGTATCCTGCTTCGCACAATGAATACTGTTTTCTTTTTATATTGTTTTGAAGAATTTTCCAAAATGAAATGTAGAAAAATTTAGTTGTAGATTCGATATTTCCGTAGTTTTTTTTTTTTTTCCGAGCTTAATAAAAACGAGACGTCCCAACTGGTTGACAGTAAAGTCGAATGTGATTTCGAAAGATGAAATATCCCTAGCGTAAGAAAATTTGAATTTTTCCACCTTAATCTTTATTTTATCGGCTGTGGTTTTGCCTTGGATAAATATAAATATATAATACAAAAATATGTCTCGAAGAAATTTTACTAGAAGATAACCTGTAAATTTAGACTAGAATCGCGCTGATTCTGGCAACTATTCAGTCAACACCACAAATAGCGTTGGCTGTTGCATCATCTGACACTGCTGCCACATTGTTGGAAGGCGCTCGAACTGTACATTCCGCATTGCATCTGACGAAACAGCAAAATTGATGCAAAAATATAAAATTTGTATTTTGTATTTGTACTGCTTTGGAAGCAGTAGAACGACCGATAAACGATTTAAAGGGAAATCAAGATTATTGGGTGGGGCTTTGATATTGCTATTTTCGTAATGCTTGTTTGAAATAGTCCTTTTTGTGGTGTCAAGTCAAGGAATTGAATTTCTCCAATTGAACTCGCTCGATGTGCCAGGGTCTCCGCCGCATAATTTACAACTTAAGGTTGGCTGGGAATCTGAATCATCTGAAATTGTGCAATGGTACGCGGTTGTCCGTCAAAAAACGAACAAAAAAACAATGTAATTTAAGCAACGATCATCAAAGGCCAATTCAAAGGAAGTATGTCACAGGAAATCAAATAATTTCAAATGGTCTTCCATTTCACTTTAAGCGGATATAGTTCCCAGTTCGGCTAGATTTTGCAATGAAAGACCAATCGCATGAAGTAGCATGCCCACGTGTTCCTTGGTTATTTTTGAGTCGGAAAATAAACAAAAACAAGAAAGGAAGCTAAGTTCGGCACGCTAAAGTTCATATACCCTTGCAGATAGAACTTTAATAACTAAAAATATAAATAATACTGAAACACTTATAATTTTTGTTGTAAAGATTTTCTGATCGTTCCTATCGGAGCTATATGATATAAGCATCCAATCCGACCCATTCCGACATATATACGAGTGAGAGTATATAGAAGGCTAACTACAAAGTTTCATTCAGATAGCTTCAAAACTGAGAGACTAGTTTGCGTAGAAACGGACAGACGGACATACGGATATGGCTAGATCGACTCGGCTATTGATCCTGATCAAGAATATATATACTTTATATGGTCGGAGGTGCCTCCTTCACTGCGTTGCAAACTTCTGATTGAAATTATAATACCCTGCAAGGGTATACAAATTACCTAGGATGCAAAAGTGAAGCTATCAGAATACGGCTTCGAGAGCTTGCTGCGTAGCCCCTAGTGTACCGATAGGAAAGATGGAGGGAAGAGGTAAGTTTTTTTGAGACTGACGGAACAACGGTGGATTCATTAGCTTGTCCCGGCTTAAGTAGTTGTACTCCCACAGGCCGTGTTTTTTTTAGCCACGTACTCCTTAACTACTACGTGCTCGGACAAGAAATCACCCGAGAAAATAGTGTCAAAAAGTTTAAAGTTGGGGTTTTGCCTTGTATATAGGCATCTTTCAATGCGAGGTCGGGGGCAAGCCTCGAAACAAATATAGTTTTCGATGGTGGAACTGCTGTTGGGGTCTTACGTAACGTATTGTTACTAACATCGACGGGTATTCCGGGCGTTATTGGACCCTGGGTTATTATTTCGATGGAATTACGCGGAGTCAAAGATTCTGACACCGCAGATAAAAAGAAAATTACTGGCGAAGCTATCACCGTTATCCCCACGCTCGATTCGGTTTCCGAACCCTTTTTCGCTCCAGATATCAGAACCATAAGACTTGGTACTGGATTCAGGAGATGTGGCGCGGGGGTGTGGCAGGTAATTGGTTGCTGTGACTCACACAGTTGCTGCCGACCAGTAACGGATTTTTTGCGTTTTTGCGACTCGTTTAACAGCTTAATACTGTTAAACTGAGTGCTCCGCTCCTGGTCTGGCGCATGAAGGACATTATTTCCCTCTCAACTGATCTACAGGCCTTACAGCAATAATGCAATCAATTTGGTGCGCATGAAGGACATTATTTCCCTCTCAACTGATCTACAGGCCTTACAGCAATAATGCAATCAATTTGGTGGAAATTTCATCTGCTATGCGGCCTGTAACCTCAATGCATTTTGCATGCATTACCGCGTCACAAAGCCAGCAATGGCGTCTTGACTGATCAGCCAAAACACCTTTACGGCAACTTTTAATTGCACAGACAATACCTGAAGACATTCTCACATGAGAACAAAAGAAAAGTAAGAAAACCGTCTCTGCACAAAACTAAAAGTATTAAGAAATACATATAAACTACACAGAAAACTACGTGCACGCGCGGTAACAAAACGGTGTATGAAATGAATAATATTTAATGATGAATTAGAAGAAATCCCGGTGGTTTGACACAATTAAAACACAAAAATTCGGAGCGGAAAACAAAAACACGGCCGTTCTATATGAAATGAAAGACGAAGAACGAAATAAAATAACCGATATTCCCTCAGAAAAGAGTTTGCGTAGAAATGGACAAACAGAACGATATGGATAGAACGACTTGACTGTAGATGCTGAGCAAGAATATTTATCGGAGATGACTCCTTCACTACTTTGCCAACTTCTCACTGACATCATAATAACCTGCAATGGTTTAAATATATGACTGAAAAACCTTTACAAAAAATTGAGATAATGTGTGCACACAATCAATAGGCGGCTGTCGCTACATGCGTAAACAAGAGCGGCTGGCTTTAGAGCGCTCTATCACTGGCTTTTTATGAAAATGTAAGAGAGCCTGAAGCCAGTTCAAAAGTCAGCACGAAAAAAGTGTGAAAAAAAAGTATGGCGCTACTCATCTTAATGATTCTATTGTCTTCGGTAGAGATGAGATGTCGCAAGCAGAGATCTGCTAAGGTGTCATTTTTTGCCACCGTTTTTGTGACTTCTTTCTTCTTTCTAGGCCACAGGATCGCTTGAAATTGGCTGATATTACAACAATAAACTTTTGGAGAAAAATCCAATTTTTTTAAATTAAAAATGTGTTTCATTAATTGTGCGTCTTTGACGGAGACAAAAAAAATTAAGTTTTCACATTCAATAAATCAGTTTCTTACAAAAACTTAGAGAATGAGGGTTTTTTTTTTTTAAATCGTGCTAGCAATTTTGCTTAGAAGACCACAAATATATACATATGTACATAGGTACATATGTACCTACAAACATACATGTAAAAATATACGCACATTTAATGTTTATGCCTAAATAAAGTGAAATCTTAAACAATAAATAAATAACGTACATATGCACATATTTAAGGCTGGTAATTTTAAATAGACAACCGATATACATATGAACCTATGTATGTATATACATATGTACATACATTTGTATGCATATCGTTTCGGAAGAACAATTTCAAACAATTAATAAATTGTTTAGATAACTAACGATTAAGTACGTTAGAATACTATGTATCTATAGAAAAACAAGTACATTTTATATATGTAAATATAATAAAGTTATCTACATATATTTATGTATATATGTACATGTATTTGGAAGTATGTACTATGTACATACACACATATGTATATGGAAAAAAATCAAATTTATTATATTTACATATGTATATAAAATTAATATGTAAAATATACATATATTTACACAATTACAAATGTATCTTTTCAATTAAAGACCAACTAAACAAATCACTTTTATATGCATGTACTTCAGAACTCAATAAAAATTTAAAGTCAACTGAGCAATGTTAACTCTTACTTCTCTGTCGTTGGCTATGCGTAAGCGAATTTACGCACCGTATATGTATATGTATTAGTAAATATATGGATGTCATTCAAATACATACGTACAAATATTTCAGCAAATAAACATAAAATAAAATGTTTATATTTTTAATCTGAATACTTAAATTTATATTAATAGTTTATTTGTTCGGGAACTTTATTTTATTTTATGGAAACTGCATCACTTTTAATTACTAATTCACAAAATATAAATTTTTATTTTTGCAAAAATACGAAAAGCCTGATATTTAAAGAATAACTTATTTTTCCTTGAATTACATATGTTTAGTATTCCGATGAACCTTATTTTGTTTTTTTTAAACAGCCCATTCTTTTGAAACAGTTGGGATTTTACGCAGATGTGAAACTCCGATTACCAAATAGTTAAGTCCATCTTCCACCATCCGATGCTAGATAATCGTACCGAAAATAAGACTATCAAAGATCGATGAATTGGCTTAGTAGGAACTAATATGAGTATTGTACAAACTTTTTTTGCTGTTTAAACACGGAAAAGAGCAGATTCAGCAGGTATTGTCGCCACTAATCTGCGGAGTTTTCGTAGAAACTTATTTTAGCTGCTAACTTATTCATGTAGTTTATGTTTTGGATGAAGCACAAGTGCTATCGGATGGTGGGAGTTGATGTTCACATTAGCGAAAAATATCAAACGTTTCATATGGATGGATTATGTTGAAAGGCGGGGCATTGGAGAATCCTGAATGAATTTTCCTTATCAAGTAATAACTGTCTAAAAGGGTGTTAGTATAGTGATGCGAGCTTAAAGGCAAAAATGGATATCAATATCCTTCGATGTTTGAATCTGCTTAACTCTGCACCTAAATGAAGCCAACAACACTTGAAATTTGGCAAACATGAAAATTAAGAAATTTATGCGAGTGAACATGCAAACTTTCCAATTAATTTTCGACCTTATAAAAATGATGCTAAAATCTTTTTAGTTGAAATCGCTCTGCCCAACAATTGTCTTTTAAATATTTAATTTATATGTTAATTTAAAAAAAAGAAAATCGTCGGGGAAAAATTTGATGTACCAAACTTCGTAAAAAAAAGTAATCAGTTATAAGTTCAACTGAATCGGAGTTGCCAAACGGCGATTTTTTTCATTTATCTCTAATCCCTTATTATCAACTTAGCAGTTCATAAAAAACAAAAAAAAAAAAACAAAAAATAGAAAGGAAGCTAACTTCGCCACGCCAAAATTTGTATACCCTTGCAGATTGCAATATAAATTATATATATTTGCGTTAAAAAACAACGAAGCAATTCCCTTTTTCATTTCAGTCACCTCTAATTATTACATTTACAGTTTTACAGTTACAGTTCCTTTTTTATTGTCATTCTTTGGCATTTTCCTCTACATATTTTATATAATTCTAGAATTATATTAAACGACTATTTAAAAGTTTGATGAAAATATGGATAATACTGAAGAAGTAAAATTTTTAATTGTATTCATTTCTCGATCGTTCCGATATGATCCCTACAGTACCAAATTTACCTGCCTGTACGATTCCTGGTGTGGTGTTCGAAAACAAAAACAAATTTCATGGGTTTTGGTAAGAGAACTACGAAACAAAGTATGTAATGAAAATTCTATCTGTGTCCGACTACTACCGATGTTCTGACTTCATATTCGTTGTTGTTTTCAAAGGGATTCGGAGCAGCGGTTCCGAAATCGAAGTGAGATGATGAAAAATATTTTTTACCGAAAAAAAAGATTCGATAGACTCGTTGTTGAAATCGTATATATATATGTATATACATACATATGTATTTTAATTATAGATTGACGAGGCAACAGCCGGAAGGAGGCAAATGCAAGAAGTTATGCTATGAAAAATTGTGGTAATCATTGAACAAACTATAAAGTTTGTTCCATTTCGGGTGGGAACGGGCTGAAGGACTATCGATGTATCGATAGGGAAAGGTAGAATTGGTTGGTCCACGAGGGGGCGAGGAAAATGAGCTAACCGGAAAGTTCGAGTGCGGCTCAAAAGAAAGGGTTCTGGCTCTTTCTCTCGGCAAAGGCAATGAGGGAATAGGAAAAGTAACGACTGGACCTCTGGAACAGAGGGAAGGAACCGGGGCTATACATGGAGGTGCTAATGTGTAACGGATCTGCCTTTCCTTGGGCAACGCCGGGCTAGCTCAGGGTGCCCAGGGCTGGGTTCGATCCAATGCCGCAGTCCGCACAATCAAAAATACCGAATTAGTCGGACGTCTCGGACTTAAATACAAGTGTCATCACTAAACATTACAAAAGGTAAACAAACAACCAAAAATACACTGCTGGCTCGGATTTGTGGCTTGGTTGGTTCCGCCACGACGCGCCCACCCATCCAGTGATGCCTCCTCCACATTTCGGGGCATCACCCATCTCCGGCGGGCCGGAGTTTACTCCAGGCGGTCTGACGACCGGTCCATCTCTCCCTGCTGGAGCTCCAAGAGAAATAGACTAGGGTCGGGGTTAAAAAACGAGAGCTTACTAATGGGCTTCTTCCCCGTTCCCCTATTGGTCGCAGCGCATGGGTTGCACCAATCCCGGACCCAGGATACGATCAAACGGAGGGCGAGACAAACACACTAATATTTTACACTTAACAATAACAAACTAATTTTTCTCTATTCCAGCTCGCTCTGGTTTGGCGCCGGTTAGTAAGGGCTGCCAGCAGGTCGGCGGCAGCTGCCTGGCAGGAACTAATATGCAATCCGCCCTTTAAATCGTCCCATCCGGAACGGACTCACCGGATGGTAGCAGCTGACGGGAATCTCCTGCCGGTGGTCGTTCTGGCCGCGGCAGATTCAGCGACGCGATGGACAGCAGCTTTGGCGGATTCGGCGACGCGGTGGCCAGCAGTTTTGGCGACGGCTCCAGGCAACGGCACTGGGTGGCTCTGAGGTGACGGCTCAGGCAACGGCACTGGGTGGCTCTGAGGCGACGGCTCCGGCAAGGGCACTGGGCGGCGATCGGTCACGTCTTCCACCCCGATTCCGTGATCACGTTTTTCTCTTTCCGATTTTAACCGCACAGAAATCCCTCGCACACGTTATGCATCCAGATTTTTCTCCTCGTTTTTTTCCACTCCCACATCCCTTTATAGCCCGGTTCCTTTCGTACGTTCCAGGCTCCATTTACATTGCCCTTGCCGAGAGAAAGGGAAACCCTATCTCTTAGGCCGCATTCGAACTTCCCGGTTCGCTCATTTTCCTCACCCCCTCCTGGTCCTACCAATTCTACCTGTCCTCATCGTTATATCGATAGTCCTTCAGCCCGTTCCCACCAGAAATGCAACACCACCCAAGGATATGACGAGCTGCTCCCGGCTTCCAGCGGCTCGACGATCATTGGGAGCATTTAGATCGGTATCTCCAGCGCAGTTTCGTACGGTGCCCAACGCGGGGCCCACGTCTTACGGGAAGTACCCTTTCTCCAGTGTCTGGTCTATGTGTACTTTATGATCCCTCTTCCAGGTCACATGCGGATATCTTTAGCGTGGTATACACCCAAACTCCGGCCCTGCATGTCCTCGAGCTCGTACGCGTTGCTGCCTATTGTCGTCACCACCCTGGCCTTGAGGAAACTTGGCAAACTTGGTGTTAATTTGCCTTCCGGAGTTGCTGAGAACGAAATTCCGGCGATACACCTCCTGGCCTGGCTTTGCAGCGAACTCTCTGGCCCTCTGGTTATAGCGTGGGCGACAGCGATCGTACGAGGCCTCCAGACACTTGCGCACTTTCTCCTGCACGACTCGAAGCTTGTCAGCCGTTGGCATACCGACCATCTCGTGGTTGCACAGAGACTGCAGCTTCCTGGCCAATCGGTAGCTGGAACCATGCAGGAAAATGTGATGTCCGAACAGCGTGAAAAACGGTGCTTCGCCCGTAGCCGAGTGCACTGCGTTCCGGAGGGCCACTTCGATCTCGGGAAGGTAGGCATCTCATTCCCTGTGATCGTTCTCCAGGAACCCTCGGATTACCGCCAGAACGCTCCGATTCACTCGTTTCGTTGCGTTGCTCTGTGGAGAGTATATCGGAGTTTTTAAGTGCCGAATCCCAAAGCTCTCCATGGCCTCCTCGAAGATCTTCGACACAAACTGTCGTCTATTTTCCGAATGCACGATCTCTGGGACCCCGAACTTGTAGAAGACCTCGTTTATGAGGAAATCCACTACATTTGAGGCTGTCGCTTCCTTCATGGCCTTCAGGAACGTATATTTGGAAAAGTGGTCCACCACAATGAAGATCCAGGCATGCCCTTTCTTCGACCTCGGGTACTTGCCAAGGAAGTCGATGAACAGCTTCTGGAATGGCCGCTCACTCTATACTCGCTCACCGATTCCGACCATCATACGGTGATTCGGCGCCTTCGACTCCTTGCAGACCTGGCATCTTTGAACAAATTCGCGAACCTGCAGCACCATCCCGAGCCAGTAGAACTGCCGCCGAAGGATCTCCAGCGTCTTCCCCATTCCGCCGTGAGCTGCCTTTGGGTTCGTATGGGCTCGCTCTACCAGGCTGTGGATAAGACTCGGCGGTATCCAGAGCTTCCACGCTGATCCGTACACCTCGTCGTCCAAAGTTGCCGGGGAGGTTCGCTTGAAGATGAGCCCGTCCTCAATCCTAAGATCCGGTAAGTTATCCTCGTTGCCCAGGATCTCTTGGACTAACTCCTAGTACTCATTTCCAGCAAATTCGGTGGTCTCAAAACCCAGCAACTCTGTCAGGTCCACCGAGATCTTCTCCACGCATCGCGAAAGCGTGTCTGCCACCACGTTCTCGCTGCCTTTCCGGTGTTCTATGGTAAAGTTGAACCCCTGGAGCTGCAGAGACCACCTGGCCAGGCGTCCCGACAGATCTTTCATGGACATCAACCACTTCAAGCTGGCGTGATCCGTGATGCACGTAAACGCCATGCCTTCTACGTATGGTCGGAACTTCCGGATCGCCAGGAGGGCTGCCAGGCACTCTTTCTCGGTGACGGTGTAATTCACCTGGTGCT